GGCTTTTAATACCTACAAAATCTATACCTAAAATATCAAAAATTTCACTGAAGAAAATGGACTTCACATATACTGAAATACATTATATTTAAAATCTCACAGAAAGCCTGCTACACTTAAAGATCATTTTTAAATCGAAGGAATCAATAAAACAGATACCCTTTCTTAACTGCTTTGAAAAAGGCTGCAGTTTGAAAAAGCAACACAGGTTAACTTGTTTGTGAGCCTAAGCTGCTGAACTTGCCCAACAGTGCCAAGTAATTACAATCTTAGGAGTGTCAGCCCTGGCAGTTCTGCAGAAGCAGTAAGGCTGTTTTTCCTCTGCAGCAAGACACTGTGATCCACATAAAACTAACAGCTCCAATTCAGCTCAGACACTTCAAAGTAAGATTCTAAATATATTCAGGCAATCTCATTTCTGATATGAAATTCAGTATAGTGCAGATTCAGTGAGATTCCACGGTTTTGTCACTTTCGATAAGAAATCAGCTTGAACATTTTTAAAGATTTCAAATTCTTGATTGTTCACAGAAACAAAAATGGAAAAATTTTAATTTAATCATTAGATGTGCCCTACCTACTATTTTTCTCAATCACCCAGACCCTATCTATAGTAAAACTTATCAACATAGAAATTGGGCTGGGCAACAGTATATTTGAATTAAATTATGTCAATTTTTTGACAGACTTGAAATTTTTATCAATATTGTTCAAATTTAAGAAAAGAATATTTAATATATTTGAAATTTTAAATGAATTTTGAGAAATCTTAATAAAAAATTTTTTTAAATGAATGCTCAAGTAGCAATTCTATGCTTTTGGTCAACAATAGATAAAATAAGCCATAATGAAATCATTTGTAGGAAAAAAACTAATTTAAAAAAACACTCCAAAGATTTCAATTATGCTGCCTGTAAAAGGGAAACCATGAAAACTGCGACTTTCCTCACTAAGAAAACTGAGACTGCATACTTACACACACAGGGAGGGACCAACTGGCGTTTCCCAGCCCATGTAGTATGTTTTAAATAGAAGAAAATAAAATAATATAGTACACAAAAAATATATATAAATATTTGTTCCAGGAAAAGGGAAAAAAAATAACATACTCCAGTTCAATTTCTTCACCTTCTTTAATGCTTTCCTTATTCTAAGTCAGTCTAAAACACAAAATATGATTACTTGGTCAACTTACAACTGGTAAATTAGCAAAGGTTTGGAGGGAACACATTAAACCTAAAGATGCTCAAAAACCAGTTTGGGGAAGTAAGTCCAGAAGAGCACACGAAATCTCAGGTTCTGGTTTATCTGACCTTGCACAAGAGATAAGCTTTGAGCATTACAGTTTTCCTAAACTAGAAGATAATTTAAATTCAGTTTTGCTATACAAACTAATTAATGAGAATCCTTTGAAAATTAACAATACAACAACCTATCTGTCACCCAGAATTTTAAAAGATATTTCTTTAATGTGAAGCAGAGATGAAACTAAATTTTGGACTCCTACACAAAAGTAACAAGAGAATACTGCAGTTTCCAGAAACTTTGGATCCTCAAATCCTTATACATTCAGCTGCTCCTGAGCTAGAAAGAGATCCAAAAGGAAACAATGCTATCACTCTTGAAGAGTTGACCTTCAAAACATCAATTAAGAGTCTTGTCATCTGAAAGTCCTGGAGTCTCAGTTTTCCCATTTGTAAAATGAGAATACCACGCACCTCACAAATGAGAAGCAAATATTAAATGAGAAAATGTAACATAAAGCAAGGATCACAGTACTTGAAACACAATAAATAGTAGTAAGGATTCTATGAAGGTGACAACCTCTGTCTGGAATGCTCTCCAAACCCTCTCACCACCTACACTCACCCCAGCAGCAACAGCATGGTCTTTGCAATAAATAATGCTGACATAATTATATACCTGTGTGGAAAGTTGAACCCTATCTCACACCATACACAAAAATTAATGTGAAATGGATCATAATAGACATAAATGAGAAGAGTAAAATAATAAAGACTTATCTAAAAGAAAACAAAGGACATTATTTTTAAGACGCTGGGGCAAGCAAGATTGTTCAAGAAGATACAAAAGCAGCATCCATTAAAAAAAAGTGATACACTAGATTAGATTTCATTGAATTGAAGAACTTCTGTTCATTTAAAAAGAAGGCATTGAGAGTGATAAGGCAAGCCGTAGGCTAAAAGAAGATATATGCAACATGTATATCCAAAAAATGACTCCATCTGGAATATACAATAATTATAAATCAATCAGAAAAACACAAATAACCGAACACAAAAAGGAGGAATGGACTTGAAGAGTCACTTCACAAAGAAAGGTATATGAAAATGCACTCAACTCACTCAACATAGAGAAATGCAAATTAAAACCACAATGATACCACTACACAACAATCAAAGTGGCTAAAATTAGTAAGATAAACAATACCTGGTATTAGCAAAAATGTGGAGCAACTGATCTCACATGCACTGCTTGTAGAAGTGTAAAATGGCACAAGCACTTTAGAATACTTTTTGGCAATTTTTAGTAAAGTAAAAGTTGATGCCTACCTCAAGACCCAGCAGTTCTACTCCTGAGTATTACTCAAGAGAAAAGAAAACATATGTCCACAAAGAGGACTTGTACAAGAATATTAACAGGAGCTTTATCGAAATAACTAAAAACTAGAAATGACTCACATGTCCATCAACAAGAGAACAGATAAATAAATTGTGGCACATCCATATAATGGAACACTACACAGTAGTACTACAGTATGAACTACTATTCGACGCAACAAAGCAATCTAAAAGAAGCCAGACACATACAATTCTTTTAAGAATATAAAGTAGTGACTGGGAATGGTTAAGAGGGAATCCTCTGGTGTGCCGGAAACGTTCTACATCTTGATCCTGGTGGTAGTTACACAGGTGTATGTATACAGAAAAATTCATCAAGCTGTACACTTAAGACATATGCATTTTATTATATGTAAGTTATATCTCAATTTAAAAATTTTCAGTATTTTACACATAATACGGCCAAGAGCAATAACCAAATCCAATGTTTTCAGAACTATTCCTTCATGTCTGGTTTTAATAAAAATCCAGTAAGATACAATAAAAACTGAAATATAAGAATACACATAGTAGTATCTGACCTAATTTTTAGGTTACTGAAAAGTCAGCCCAGAATTTATAAATCTTAAGTTTGTCATGCTTCTAGTATACCAAAAAAATAAATAAAAGAAAAATTACTCCATTTCCTTAAAAAGCAAGACATTGGAACACTAGATAAGATTTTTTTACAATAGTTCCAATGTCTATGGGCCTAGGCTTTATGATTCCATTATCAAAATACAAACAACCAAAAAATAGAATCACAAAAACAAAACATTACTTCCTGCTTCTATGATAATATTAATATATTCTCTGTGGCAAATCACTTATCCTCATCCAGAAAACACAGAAAGTAAGATTACCTCTACACGATTTTTTTCAGTTCAAGGATTCTATGATTCTGACATTCAACTAACCAAAAACTCTGATTAGCTCCCTAAATGCCTTCCAAAAGAAAAGGCAAATCTTTGGTCTGGCATTCAAAGCCCCACATCAACACTATGTTCATGCTGACCCTTCCAATTTTTTCTCACATTGGCCATATATAAAACCCACACACCGTCCTTTCTCTTCGTTTCTGTTCATGAGACTTCCTCCACATAAAATATCCCTCTCCCAAAGTTCTCTATTATATTAGCCTATTACAATCTTTATCTCTAAATGTATTCGTCCACATATTTATTGAGAATCTTTTCCATGTTAAGGCACAAAGTTGGACGACGGTTAAGGACAAAGAAATAAGACATGGTTCCAACCAGAATGTGGCATGCGAAGAACTAACTCTAATACAAGTTGATTGGCAAAGAGGTCAGTTGATATTGTAGTAAAAACAAAACAAAACAAAAATCAATTAAGCCTTAGACCAAGCTGAAATCCTCCCTCCTTCAACTTTCCCTATTTTATTCCCAATCAGATCATTTTCTCTCACTGTTCTAACTCCCTATAAAATTGTTTTATATCAATCACCCATAACATAATTTATATGTGTATCTCTTTCATTCTCCAAAACATATGGAACTTGAGAAAAGATTTTTTTCTGTACACTTTTAATATCCACTAAATTTTCCTTAAACTCTAAACACATACTATTCAAATAATGATTTTAAAAACTGCTTTTCAAAAATGAAGAGCTCCCATATTTTATCTAATAAGTTATAGCCAAAGTGATTACAATAAAAAGTAAGGATTAAAAGAAGTTGCACCTCACTGGAAACTTCTGTGAAGAATGTCATAGAAAGTTAGCCAAGAATTAGATTTCTTGAGAAACTGAATTTATTCTTTCAAGAATTTTATAGACTAATTTTTTTATAAAGGAAAAAATTTGACTAATTTTCCTTTATAAAAAGTTTTCCTAAATACTCCTATATTAACCTGAAATACATGAATAAACTTTGATACTTAAACTATCATATACTTAAACAAAAAACAAAATTCAATTTACCCTGTGCCCAAACACACTCAATTATCCCATAGCCACTAGAGTATTTATGAACATAAGTATCTGGCTTGTAGCTGACATAGTTTGAGCTATGCAACACTTCTATAACTATAATGTCATAGAAAGATTAACATTCATGTTTGGGCTTAACCTATTAACAACTATTTGTATTTTGTTATATACAGTTATATTCTAGGAGCATGTGACTATTCAATGGCATAACTGAACTCACGTAAACCCCATAACCTAGTACGAATTAGCTTGTTATCTGAACATTTTTAAAACACTACCATTAAAAAACAGCTACCTGTGAGCTTTTCAAGCATGCTAAATGCAAATTTAAAATACTTAATTTTAAAAACTTAAATACATTGTCTTATGTAAGATAATTAAAAATGTATCTTACCAGCTTTATTTTGATAAATAAAAATAAACTGTACCTGGTTACTACCATGGCCAAAAGGAGTACTAGATAAATTAGTGGTTACACTGTGCAAAATAATTTCACCACTGAGAGATCCAGAAGCAATGTAGCAATCATTCCAATTATATGTTACACAAGTTACTTCATTTTTATGATCCTGAAAGAAAGAAATGAAAGTAAGTACAGTGCCACATAACCTTCAAACAGCACATTTTCATGTTTTTGTAAAGTTCATGTTTTGTAAATATTATGTATTTGTCAATTTAGTATTTGTTTTAACATTTTCCTCAAATAATCTAAAAAAAATTACTCAAATAAGCAAGAAACTATCTGATCAACACCAAGTCTTCTCAGGGAAAAGAGATTTATTTTTCATAACCATAATAATGACCAGGCACTCTGAAACAAGAGGCAGAAAGGAAAGGTAATTTTCTAAATGGCATTAGGTCTGCTTTCAAGAATTCATTTCCACTGACAAGTAACATTTATTGCAAGTTGACTATCATGAGAGTCCCTGCCCTTGAGAGTATTACTGTTCAACTGAGAAGACAGGACATTTAAATTAACATGAAAATGGCAGAATGAATGCTAAATGAGTGGTAAAGGCAAAGTGTAAGAGGAAAGAGAAGAGGCATCACTGTGAACCGAATTGACACAAGAAGCTTTATGGAAGGCATAAAGCTTGAGTTCAACCTTCAAGAAAGGATAAGTTAGGGGAAGGGGAAAGAAACCAGACACTGCAAAATGGAAGACAGAAAAAAACAAAAGCCCCAAACCCAGAATGAGCAAGGCATGTTTGAAGGTCGACAGCAGCTGTTTCCATTTGCTGAGTACCTACTAACACTGGGAGCTTTATATATTATTATTAACCCTTAGAACAATCCTGGGAGGCAAGGTCATTATTCTCATTTTATAGATGAGTCAACTAAATGAAGCACAGAAAGGTTAAGAAACCTGTGCAAGCTCACATAACTGCTATTCAATTCCAGGATTCAATTCCAGGTCCAACTCCAAAGCTTATTTTCCTCCCACTACACTAGGCTGTCGCCTAAATCCAAAGGGGAAGCCCCTTTGAGGAAATGAAACTGTTTGGTTTTAAACAAACTGAGTTCACGAGGACTATGTTTTCCAATATTAAATTAGAGCTATCTAGCAGGAGCATAGAAAAGTGATCAGGGTTAGGAGTATACTTATTAACAGTTTGCTGTCATATCTTAATAATATAAACAAACTAACCTTTGTATCTAATAATTAGATTAATGCAATATCAAGAATAGTAATATAATATCAAAGTAATGTAATATCAAAGAAATAATTGCTATCCTGAGGGAAAAATGTCTGATGAGGATAAAAAAGAGAGTGGACATTTAGTGTATCATTCCCACTTGGGAAATTAAAAATGTGGGGTCCAACACAATTTCTATGACCTTGTAAAGAGGCAGGTGTCTTCCTTATTTCCACTGTGGAAGAGAAATCATTCAGTAAACAATTACTAAGCACCTAACAAGTACCAGAAACTGTGCTATGACCAGGGAGAGAACCGCAGAGGAAGGATCCAAATGTGCAAGACCAGATTTCCCACTATCGCAACTAGTCAGTCCAACACTTGTTAACTGAATGAAGGAAGGAATGAAGCACTCAAGAATGTCAAACACTGAGAAGAGAAAAAACTACCTGCAGTAGTGGGGAGAGCTGAGGATGGAAAAATGAGGAGAATTTTGCCATGCAGTAAGGAGGGATGGGAAAAGGGATGCTAAAATGTGTGACAATGTGGGACAAAACTGGCCACAGACTTCTAATCTCTTCTCAATTCTGTAAGATGCCCTCTTCATAGTGGCTGTACCCCTCTAAATAGCTTTATTTCAATTATTTCATAATTTAAAAGACTAAACAATGAATAATGTCTGAGTTGGCATCTCATCTTTGCCATTACTCTTTGAACAAGTTCTTGAACATCTCTGAGCCTGAGTTTCTGCATCTGTACTTAGGAATAATACTACCTGCTTTGCAGAGATGTTGAGATAAACAGAATAAACACATGTTAAGCATAGTGGTGGGCATATCAAAGAACTCAACAAAAGCCAACTATTCTCATTATTGGCAACTTTTCAATTTTCCTGAAGACTCTTCAAAAGTTTAGCTAATAACTAAAATAAGGAAGTTCCAAAGGTAATATTTTAAATATCAATTACAGAATTATACTTCAACTTAGCTAAGAAAAAAACATTCTTCTATATACCACACCTCTAGTAAGAATTAACTCAATGACATTGAGATAAAGTAAAACAAAATGATAATGATCTATGGTGTTTGCTTGAAAATATTCTGAGGGCGTGAGGATTAGAGAGTAGATGCACGCATAGATAAAACAATACTGTCCATGAGCTGACCATCATTGAAGTCAGACGATGAATACACAGGTGATGGGTTAAAGGAAGATCTTTCTCTATGTGTATAGGTATATGTGTGTATATATATATATAAAGATGCTTAAAATTTTTCATGTTAAAACTCTTTAAAAAGACATATAAAAATTAAAAATAACTTTAAAGATGAACTTCCAAATATTACAAGAACATAATAATGAAAAGCAGAATTCCAAAAAAATTCCATAACCAGAGGCTTTCCTGTAATGATTATTTTTATTTTCTGAAACTGCAAAAAGCTATTTAAAAAACCACTAATTATAAATCGTAAGTTATTTTAGAAAATATTTCCTTACCAAGATGCAAATACATACAAAAACAACACAAACCGTAGCAGAGAACTAAGAAGTCAAATCCCCAACTCTGACTACTAAATCGAATATGAACTGTGGTCCCAAAACCACTCTTTTTTTCAAAGCTCCTTAAAAAAAATCTCTGATGACAACGAGCCATACTTTAGAGAAAATGAAGCAAGTGATTCACTCAAACAAGAGTAAAACTAAGCGAAAAATAAAGAAAAAGTTTTAAACCCCAATAATATGCATTCGTGACATACATGGAAGAAAAAATAGACCAAAAAAATTAAGTTTTTGGCTAACAGCATATTTATTTTCCCTAACAAATCTCACTTCAATTCTGAAGCATCTTATTTTTAAAATAAAAGCTCAAAATTCAAAGAAAAGTTTGATAACTACTCTAAACACATTGTGAGATACCCATTTTTGTAAGGATTAAAAAAAAGTTGCTTACCTTAAGAGATCGATGGACTCTTTTTGATTTTAAATCCCAAATATTAACAGTATTATTTAGGCCTCCGCTTACCAAATACATAGATGTAGAATTTAAACTGACGCATGTCTGCTTTTGCTATCAAAGAAAAAAAAAAGTTACCTTAATTTAACAGAGCCCAGAGCTGACTTTCAAGTCTCATCCAACACTTAGTAAGCACCTGAAAAATATGTGAATTAAATGCTATAAACATGCTAATACTTGTACTAAAAGATTCACCTCTCATCATCTTCCACGTGGATCCAACAGCTTGTAAGCGGTTCAAAAAGACTTCAAGGAAATCAACCAGATTCATGTTCTCTTCCACAGAACAGGTGACAGAGGAAGCGTAGGAAACACCAGCAAGTCTTGACCTCCCATCAGGGCTTCCTTGCCCTTAATATCACCCCTTAATAAAAAACCTGCTCTCGCACTTCCACAGAATATCTTCAATTAAAATCATCCCATAGCGCAGAAAATGCTAAAGCTAGCGGGGATATTACAGAATATCTAGTTTACCCCTCCATTTACAGATGGGGGAAGTTTTATAAAGAGGACAAGACGGCCAAGTCTCACAGCAAATCTCCCCCTAAGGAGCCCAAGTCTCAAACATCAGATCATCAGAATCTGACTCTACTCTCTTCCCCATCTCTGTCAAGATACCATCCATCAAGTTTCTCAAGATAAAGATCCAGAATTACCCTTGATTCCCCACTCTCCCTGGCCCCAATCTATCAGTAAGTTCTCTAAACTCCAACCCTAAAAATAAATCCCACACGGGCCCCACTTCATCTATCGCTACCACGAGCACCCTACTCCAAACCTTGCCGAACCACAGCAGCAGCCTCCTACCTGGCTGCCCTGCTTCCCTACACTCTGTGCTCTGCAAGTAGGGGGACCTTTAAAAGACGTAAATCAGATAATGTGTCTCCGTTTAAAAACCTTCAGTGGCTTCCAATCATACCTAGAACGAATTCCAAACTCATTAACCTGGCTTTCTAAGCCCTATTCATCTGGCCCCTTCCTACCTAGTCTCTCACCATTTTCTTCCTCACCCACTAATTCTCCAACCACACTGACCTTCTTCCATTCCTTAAACATAACAACTCTGTATTTGCCTCAAGGCTTCTACACAGCTGTTCTGGCCTGGGAAGCTCAATTCCCTCAATCTGGGCTGAATGGCTTCTTCTGGTCAACAGACATCAACTTAAAAGCCACCTCTTCAGGAGACCTCCCTTGGCCACCTAAGGTAACTTGCTATCTCAATATCTTATTTTAGTTCTCTGCATAATAACTTATAACTATACGGGTATTCTGTTTACTAGTTTATTGTCTGTCTCCCACCACAACGTCAGTCTCAGTAGCACAGACCATATACACACTCAACAAATATTTATAGGATAAATGGCTAAAAACACAGAGGTTATCAAGTTGTTCTCACAGGGAGTATCTATGACTGTCATGTATCTGATGGTACCACCAGTAACTATGCTACACAGAACACAATGTCGCATGTTTTTTCTATTTAACCTTCAGATACACTATATAGGTACATTAACTGTTCTGACCTCTAGTTGAATGCCATGGGGAAAATAAAAGAGAAATGAATTCCAAAGGGGACATTTTGCGACTCAGTTAAAAGTTAAAATGCAAGCTATGCAGTTTTGGGCAAATCATCCTCCTTTTCTGAGCCTACATTTCTTCGTCTGAGAAATGAAATATGAGGACTAGATCTATTGTTCTTACCTTGAGAGTCCATGCATCTCAAAAACATCCTCTGCTCAAGAGAGCACCAGATTCTTAAAAGGGTGCCGACAGCACCCCCCTAACCTCCCCCAAGGTTTCTTCTAGCTCTGAAATTCTGACCAGGAGTCAAAATTACTAACACATATAAAAATACCAGGAGCACATTACATCAATGTTTCAATATAGTTGCTATAATTGTCTTGCAGGTACCATTCTAGAAATTGACGTTGGTCTAAATAGATTAAGATGTAGAATCTGGTTATCACTGCAAATCAGGACAGTTTGCTAAGAGCTATCAAAATAACCTTTAAAGAAAATAGACAAGAATGGCGGTCCATCAAAGATCGATATGCTAGGATTCTAATCGTCAAAAACAAATTATTCTTAAGGGTTCAGAACAAAACCTATACTTATAGCTGGCTTACCCTAATGATAGAAGATCATTTTTTAAGTTAATGTATTATTAATGTAGCTAATGAATCTAAATAATTAATGGAAATTGTATGGTTTTACAGGAATTCTGTACCCCAAGAGAAAAGCAATGGTTGGAATTTTTTAAATCTAAAAATAACAGCTGGTCAAATTTCTAGGATGTAGTAGCCTACCATACCCATTATAATACTGTTAAGACCAATCTGTCTACTTTAAAGAGGTAAAATACAAAATCAAAGAAAATAAATATGAACTTAAAATTGCACCCTAAAAATAATGTTAAAAGTAAGCAGGATAGAATCTTACTTTCCAAGTAGGAAAGGTCCAATATCTCAAACAGGGGTACATGATTAACAGGACTTGGAAGGTACGAAGCAAAGGTTATCAACACACTAATATGTTACAAGCAATTACTAACAAAGGCTAAAGAACCAATGTTTGCAAAATATTTTATAAGTAAATTAAAGTAAAGCAGATTCAAATTATAACTATAATGACTTCACTTTCATCCACCTGCACTCTGATGTGACTTCTTAACTGTGGGAAAGAGAACTACCTATAGCAACTAATGTGCTGTGGAATATTCACAAAATCCTTAAGAGTGGTGTCACACTTGTGAATATCATCTGTTATTTTTATACATTAACAACAACAACTGGTTCTAGGGTCCCAAACTGGTTCTAAGGCATAAAGCATAAAAGTAGCGTGTCTGTGTGTGTGTGTGTGTGTGTGTGTGTGTGTGTGTGTTTATAGTGGTAGAGGTGGAAACTGAAATTGTTTTGATGTTGATATTTACTTTGACAAACGTTTGTTGACCACCTTTGACAGGATCTAAAGATCCAAAGATGACTAAGATGTTTTGCCTGCTCTTGAAGAGTATACTTTACCTTTTATTGACTAGGAATGCTCTCTGCCTCACTTTTACTTAACTGAGTTTGAATAGGCAGAGGGCCTCAAACTCCATTTCTACCCTTAGCAGACATTCTCTCTGCCCCGGCCTCCAACATCTGTGGGCTGGAACTTATGCTCAGATCAATCCCACTGGATACCCTTAGGAAAGAACCAATAGAAATTCTAAGTCCTTTTTAAATTAGATGAGCTTATAATCCATTGTCCTGCTGTGTTCCTTCGAATTGGGCCAGGTTTCCTATTCCAGTGTGCAAAATTATGACAATTCATAGTGATTTAGGGTCTACTATGAAAACTCTGAATTTTTTAAAAAAGAACAAGCTACCAACTACTTGTACCTTTTTATTTAGACCTTATCCTATTTAAAAAAGAAATAGCTTTCAAGGAATGTGTGTGATTAGAAATGAGGAAAGCCAGCATTATCCTGAATCACAGGGATTAACTTATAAAACAAAAGGATAAGAAAACAGTAAGTAGGAGAGCTTCATTTAAATGCTCTGGAACCAAAGCTCATTTTGACAAAGCCACCCTGTTCTAGGAGAGCTTAGGGAAGCTCAGGCTGGCCCCTCAGAACCAGGCAGACACAAGCTAAAGCAGAAGGCTACCATTAGAGAGGGGTCTTTAGCTGACAGTCCTGAGTCCAACATCATTAAGGGTAGGCTTACATCATTAGGGCTCTCAGGGTCAAGTCAACCTAATGGCGTGCGTGGGACATGGTCCTCAAAAAGGCAGCAATACCAGGGAACCTCCCACAGAAGGGAAATCTAAGTCCTTGATTGCTCCCCTAGGATGCAATATTATTTTACCTGAAGATGTTTCAGTAAGCACACTCATCTCATCTTTAAGTGTTGCTGTCTTATTTTGAGCTCAGGATAAGAATAACGCTTTTAAACAACTTTAAAAGTTGCAAGCACTGTAATAAATAAGCAATTACCACTCAAGTAGAACTAAGATTTTCAAAAGGTTTTTAAAAAAAAAAATCACTTACCCCTTCACCAAGCTCTAAAAGTGGAACAGGTTTACACTTGCAACTTGAAACAACTATTTTGTCGCCACTGGAAGATGCTGTCACTAGAAAGTTATCTAAATGAAGAGTTATGGAGCATCAAACAATCCATGAGCAACTCTAGCACTATACTATTATTACAAGAACTGTGATAAGAGCAAGCTCACTAACCAAGAAGACAAGTAATGAATACAGCTTATACATTAGCTTTCAAAAACGGCTCAGGTTACTAATTACTGAGACTAATTCTCTGTACTACTACCGCAGGGAAGAACTATCCTTTCTGGCTTTGCTATCACTTGAAAGCTATCTAACCCACGTGAAATACTACTCCATTTTCAAAGAGTAGGCCAGAAGGTCTAATTTTATCCCTCAAGAGTGAGAGCATGATAAAAGCAACATCAGCAAATATCAGCCTTTTCATCTATAAAAACTGTTCAAGACAGTTATTTATTAACACAGTGCTTGGTAATGTAAGCTAGGAAGCAAATATCCACATTAGTCTCCTATTTTTCCACTAGAAAGATAAAGATATATTTTCTCAGGACTGGAATTTTTGTGATAGAGTGTTCTAATCATAAATGTATTAAAAATATTACAGTAAACACAGCAAATATAAATGTGTGGTTTAATAGCAACTATTTATGTTATGAAGAGTTTTAACTTTCAATTAAATTTAATTTAAAATATAATTTTAAATTTTATCTAAAAATTTTAATTTAAAATTATATTTACCTTATTTTACATAAATTGTAAGTGGAATAATCAGTAAACACAAAACAGTAAGTATTTTAAAAGTAAACTGATTAGATACAATAATATAACCAAGAACAAGAGTCTGATTTTGAGAGTCATAACAAATTAAAATATCAGAAGTTTAAATCTATGCTTTTTAAAAGCAACATCCTAACTGCATTACTTTTAGATGATTTGCATAATACTCAGATATTGTGTGAACAGACCGTGGACTGTAATTTTATGATATATGATTTAAACAAACTCATTTCCACCTAGATATTGCAGCATTGAGAAAAATAAATCATTTCCCTTTCCTTGGCTTCTTCCTCTGTTTACTGCAACTTTTCTCCTTAGAATATAGAAAATAAAGGACTGAAAATATAATAGAAAGGGTAATCTAGTTACTTCTTTTATTTCTCATGTAGTTTGAGAAGTCATGAGAAAGTGACGAACATTACCTAGAGGGACAAAAAACAAAGAAACCCAGAAAACTAATCGCCCTGGTACCTCACCATTAGTCCTGTTCTTGGAATCCCCACTAAGTGGACCCCAAGTTGAGTGTGGGAAGTCTTTGTTCTTCAGTAACTAACCCCCACGGAAGGGATCAAAGCCTCATTAGGAAGAAGACTATACAAAGGTTTCCCGTGGACATCTACTTGTACAAGAAAATTATATAGAAATAAGACCAGTTTCTAAAAGTCATACAACTCTACCTCATAGTCACATCAGTTTTGTTGATAAACCATTAAGTGGTTTATCAGCAAATGCCAACTCCTAATAAAACTCCTTGGAATAAAAATAAAATAAAAATAATAAATCTTATTAAGAATTGCTGCTTTTCCTCTTATTCTGTAAGTAACAGGGAAATTTAGCTCTACACATAATAAAAATCTAATAATAGGGAGAAGCAAGCTCACATATTTGTCACTCTCTTTTAAAACATTTTCCCCCACTGCACATCTGGAGAGCCCTTCAAAACTGTAGTCACTTCACCGTGAATTTGATTAATAGAGTACCAAAGTAATGCATTTTGCTACTTTAATACAAATCGAGGAATGATGAAGAGGTAAATTTAATTCAATAAGAAAATTCCTCATTTTTGTTAAATATTTGCAAGAATAATTAGGTCAAGCATGAAAACTGCTAATGTTTTTGTTCATGAATCAGTCACATTTTAAAGCTTTGATATTTTTACTTTCATCAGGAAGCAGAATATTAATACTTTGGTATTGATAAGATCAGACGCGCTAAAACTTAATTTGTTAAGAAATAATGTATGAGTTCCACAAAAGAATGATAATTTCTAGCATACCAAATATATAGAACATTTTCATACAAAAAGTGGTAGGAGTACTTTGTTTACAGCAGTAGTTCTCAAGTGGGGGCTACTGGCATCTGGTGAGAAGCCAGAAGGCTTCTAAACATGCTACAATGCACAGGATAGCCTCCATAACAAAGAATTATCTGGCCCAAAATGTCAACAGTGCAAGGTTGAGAAATCCTGATTTACAAGCTACACTCCCTCATTTATTTTATCTGCATTTAGGAGCTTACTAACTCAGGGAGGGTGTGAATCAGAAACACAAAAAGCTTAGGAAAACTCAATCTAGACACTTTATTTGGGAGATGAGACTATTTTCATCATAGAAAGGAAGAGAAATACAGAGAGTACATCAGTAAAATGGGGATGTTGGACACTTCTAACTTTTATCTCTTCCCCCTACCTCTGCTTCTGCCTTTGAGTTCTGTCTTTAATTTCCAGACCAGATCCACGAATATCCAAATGTAGATGCCAAAACCCATTCAAAATCTTTCAGAATTTTTCCCACCATTACCTACCTTATTCCACTTGATTCAATAACAAACTGTTGATAACAAGACTAATTCTATGGTCTAGATCTAGTAGCTTATATATATATATATATATATATTTTATAGCAATGTTTTACAATAGAGTGGGTTGCAACTAAAATTTTTAAAAATGAAATCAACAGAATATCAGTGTGCATTCATATAATGTACTGTTTATTAAACTCCTATTTCACTTTATCTATTTATCTTTCACAGTGATGCAAAATATATTTCTCATTATGTGTCGCATGCAAAAATTTCATAGAAACTGTTTGTTTAACCTAACAGAAAGCAGTTGTTTAAAAAAAAAAAAAAGGATACTATTGCTGCTCCAACATATTGAGCTGATTCCATGTGGTGATGTGTGTGGGTTGAATTTATCCACCAACGTCATAGATGAAGCATCCCATATTTTAACATCATCTCCCGATGAAGCAAATCTGAGGTTTTCCTGCATGGCTGCACCTACAAGTGGTTTAAAACAATATATTTTTAAAAAAATTAAGGATAGGCAAAAAAAAACTTAAAATGAAGCATCTAATCTAAAACAAGTGGCTCTGCTTGTCTACTTTTGTCCCAGAGAGGATGCTCACCACCAAGTAACTGCAGTGATGTTTCTTTCTAAAAGGAAAACCGGATCACAATCTCTTAGTTGACCCTTCCAATGGCTCTCCTCAGCACAATTATAATGAAATCCAACCTCATTAGCGTGCTCTACATGACCTGGCCCCGGTGTAACTCTCCTGTCTCTCTTCTCCGGGGGCCTACCAGACTCAATGGCCTTCTTTCTTTCTTGCCTGATGTCTTTCCATTTGCTGCCCCCTGGCCTGGAATGCTCTTTCCCCAGATTTCCCATGCTCATCTCCTTCACATCATTCCAGTCTCAGCTCTTGTCTCCTCCTCAGAATGGCCTTTCCCAACCACCAGGACTAGAGCAGCCCCACACCAGCTGCCTTATATCCCATTACCCTGTTTCATTTTTTTCATGGCACTTCCTGCTATCTTCAATTATTTGTTCTCATAATAATGTATGACTCCTCTGACTTGGAACAAAACAAAGATGCCGAGGACAGAGATTTTGTCTTGTACACCACCCGTCTTGAAACATTCCTGGCACACAGTAGGTACTCAACAAGTAACTGTTGGATAGGTAACCTTTCCTAATCTTTTCAGCAACGTATGATAAACTGTAGCACCCCTGCAGGTCAGAATCCAGTCACTCTACTTCTTCCAAGTAACTTCAAAATTAGCAAATATAGCCGAAGGAGATGTTGCTAAGTCCCTATACCAATACTCGGTCTACAACACCCTGGCTCATATTATTTATTCACAGTATATAGTTCAAACACATAATTCTGACAGTGATTTCACAAACCAAGGCAAGACAGAAGGTTTGTGAAAGGAGAGAAGGCAAGGAAGCTGCTCCAGGCAGACTAAAGTGTCTTTAAAAAGTAGCAAGGAGTAACGCATGACAGGTCAGAAAAAATGCTCAAAAACACACGGGAGAAAGAGCAAGGGCAGGGGGCGTAGAACTATACCCTACACACCTTCCTGGTGTAAAGAGTGCAAGAGAATAGCACAGCATTAGTGATGTCACAGGCAGGTTCCCAAGTCATCAACAAAACATCACATTCACGTCCAATATACCCTATTTCAGAGGACAAATTCAAGGTATAAATTATAGCGCCCTTTGATTCTCCAGAGACAAAAAAAAACTTTTTTAATGTGCTTATAAAAAGGCTAAAACTTTTGTTAACTAGAAAAGTCACTTTTGTGATTCATTACACATCATTTATCAGATAAACAGGGTGCTACTAAAAGCCGGTACAGTCATCTGTTGAAAAGCAAAGTGTTTGGATCTGGTGCCTGACCTGTGTTAACACGTGCCCTTTTGGTTCCTACTCAAGGAACAATGAAGTGCTGGAAAGGCGATCTCTGAACCCAGCAAACACGACTGAAAGATGGCTCTGCCATAATCTTACACCACTCCTGCTGAGCGGTGTGGTGTCGTGGAAGGATCACTTAAAGCCAGGGCTCAGAACAAGTGGGTTCACACGATCTGCCCCAGAGTTAGGTGACAGTGACTCTGGCAGAGTCACTTCATGTCTGTTTCCTTCTCTGAAGGTGCAGCGGGAAAGGGGACCGCCTGCCCACCCACCTCGGTCTTCTGAGACTCGAGCGCATTTAAGGGAAGGGCATGACATCAGCTCTCCAAGGGGCTCCCGTCGAAAGGAGCTGTCAGGACACAGGGCGGTCCCAGACGGCCCGCCCCGGATCCGGGGACAGCGGCCACAAGAACAAATTCCGCCACAACACTCAGCTCAAACAAAAGTTCTCCAACTTTCCTTCACCAAATCTGCACTTTACTTGCAGGAGAACTGCGCGACTGGGGCGACCTTATAAAATGCATCCGAGTCCTACTGGAGAGGTTTACAAAAAGGGAGCGGATTGCGGCGAAGCGGCACACTCTCCGGAGGCGGCCCGCCCCCCGAGCCGCCGCCGACCTACCCCCGAGGACCGGGCCGCCCCTCCGGCCGGGCCCGAGGCCTCGCAGGAGGCGGCGCGCGACCCCGGCCCGCGGCTCCAGGCACTTCCGCGCCAATCCCGCGGCCGCGCCTCCGCCCAGCAACCGTCCGGGGCGCCGCACCGGGCGGGGGGCGCGGAGCCCCGGGACCTCTGGCCCGCCCCCCGAGGTGGCCGGAGGGCGGACGGGGCTCAGGAGTGTGCAAGGACACGGCGGGCGGCGGCCCGCTGACCCCAGGCCCTCCGGAACCTCACCTCTCGGCAGCGGGACACCGGGGGCCACGGCGCGGCCCGCTCCGGCGCTGGGCTTCCGGCTCCCGCCTGGACTGTTAAACTTCGGCGGCCGGAAGTCCAGCCCCCGAGTGGCGTCACGAGGAGGGGCGCTGCCCGAAGCGGGGCCTCGGGTTGGCGGGGTAGGGCCAGGGGCGGTGCTAGGCCTCCGCGGGGGTCCTTCTCCCCGCGCCGGGGCGGGAACTGCGGGCTTGGGTGGCTCCCTCCTTGCCCTAGCGGTGGCACTTGGGCCGCAGACAGCTGCTGCTTTGAAATTCGTTTGTTCGCTAACTGCCAACTGTATGCCAGGCTCCATGCTAGACTCTGGGTGCACCGTGATGGCTTTAGCCTGGGAATACCGGGGTACAGTGAACGCTTGTGGTCCCGGCCTCCGGGGCCTTACAGCCCAGTATAGGAGGCGGACGTTAATAAATAGTTACATACTTAAATGAAAAGTGAAACTGACAGTTGCTTCAAAGGAAAGGTACGAGACATACAAAAGGGGAATGAACGTAGATGTGGGTTTAGGAAAGACTTCCCTGAAGAGGAAACCATGGAGAGCAGATAATACGCCAGGCAATTTACAAACCAGGGGACGTGCTCAGAAAAGCTAAGCAATAACAGAAAGCGTAAATATCTAAACTATCCGACTTCAAAACCTATGATTTTTCGTCTGAATCATGCTGCCGGGTCGGGAACATCAAACACCGTTTGCTTGGGAATTCTTTTGAAGGGGATGCTTCTCACAGTGGAAAAAGGAGTTGAACTGAATTTTCAAATGCCCGTTCTACCAGAGACATTTTTTTAAGTTTTACTGGCAATTGTTGCTAAGAATACTTACAATAAATATACGGCTTTTCTTCTGAAAACAGTGTTATTATTCTTTCATCACAAGTATATACTCAGAATGTGTTTCTGATCTAGGTATATAAGCCCCAGTTATTTGCACACGTATTGCAAATAACTAGAAAACTGGTAAGTGCAATTTTTGCAGAGCAGAAATTGAAGTTCTGGCTAAGTTTTAAAGATTGATGGGGAGCCTCAAAAGGAGAAAGATAGCAAGCAGCAACTGCCTTCATTGTATAGTTCATAGTTCTTGAGGTTATTAAATCCAATTTCAGCAAGGATGGGGGCCAAAAAGTTCAGAAATAAGAAAAGAAGTTAAGAGAGAGGGTGCAGGGAGAATCAGGGCAAATAAGGAAAAAACAATGAACTAAATCTCTGAAAAATTGAAGCCAGCAGGAAAATAGAGACTAGAATATATGAAACAATTATGATATAATACTGCATACCATATAATATATACATATTATGTAATATAATAACAGATATTATTTATTAAGCACAATTCGCTAAGCACATAGATATGTATATAATGTGTACAGGTATACTATATATATATATATAATTTCATCTTTCTAAAAACGTGTATGTACTATGTCCCCACTTTACATGTGAAGAAACAGAGGTTAAGTATCTTTCCCAAGGTCACACAGTTAAGAAATGGTATGCACAGGAGTTAAATCCAGAACCAGAATATTACAAAGACTATGCTCTCAACCATTATGCTATATAGTCAAGAGCCAGAACACAGCATAAAGGGCCAAATGTCAACCTCCACTCCTTCCTCCCTGCTGGTACCACAGCTTCATCAGACCTTACACAGTTCTGACATTCTTGTTCCTACCTCTGTGTCTATGTGCATTCTGTTTCCTAGTTCTGTATAATACAGTCTACAAGCAATAGAAGCCAAATGTTGGAATCCTCACTAATATATGAATTATATAAACATATACAGCTTTCCCAAAGTAAACATCAAGACTAGGTATATTTCTAGAGACAAAGAGGGATATTTCACAACAAAAAAATGGTCAATAAAACCAGAAGCCATATCAATATATATGTGACCAATAACAGAAGTTTAAAGTATATGAAGAATAGGGCCGGCCCTGTGGCTTAGTGGTTAAGTGCGCGCCCTCCGCTGCTGGCGGCCTGGGTTCGGATCCTGGGCGCGCACTGACGCACCGCTTCTCCAGCCATGCTGAGGCTGCATCCCACATACAGCAACTAGAAGGATGTGCAACTACGACATACAACTATCTACTGGGGCTTTGGGGGGAAAAAATAAATAAATAAAATCTTAAAAAAAAAAAAAACATTTAAAGTATATGAAGAATAAATGTCAGAGCTGAAGGAGAAAAAGTCACATCCATAATCATTGTTGGAGACTTTAGCAGAATTCTCTCAGTAATTGATAGAACATCCAGACAAGAAAAAAAAAATCAGTAAAGATGTGCTAGATCTGAACTTTATCAACTATTTTAATTGACATTTATAGCACACTATACCCAACCTCTGCAGGATAAACATTCTTTTCAAATACACATGGAATATTTACAAAGATAGACCACATGCTGGGCCGTAGAACAAGTCTCAATAGATTTTAAGCAAATAAATCTTACAGAGTATATTCTCTGATCACAGTACAATTAAATAGAAAACAATAAAGCATCTAGAAAAGCCCCAAACATCTGAAATTTAAACAACTTTACTTCTAAACAACTCATAGGTCAAAGAAAAAATCAAATCGCAGATAAATTAGAAAATATTCAAATGATGATAAGTAAAATGCAACATATAAAAATTTATGGAATTCATCAAAGCAGTGCTTCTAGACAAACATATAGGTTTAAATGTCTATATTATGGAAAAAAAAGAAAGGTCCAATATCAATAAGGAACCCAGAAAAAGAAGAGCAAATTAAACAAAAAGTAAAAACTAGGGTAGAGAACAATGAAAATGAAAACAGATCAACAGCAAAGAAAAATTAATGAAACCAGAATCTGATTCTTTGAAATGATTAATAAAATTGATAAACCTCTTGCTAGACTTATCAAGAAGAAAGAGAAAACACAAAATACCAGTATGAGGATTGAAAGAGAGGCAAGCCATCAGTACAGAACCAAAAGATATTTAAAAAGATAATAAGGGAATAGTTTGAACAACTTTATGCCGATTAATTTGGTAACTTAAATGGACAAATATCTTGAAGACACAAATATTGAAACTGACACAAGAAGAAATGGATAACATGAATAGTCCTATATGTACTACAGAAATTGAATTTGTAATTAAGAAAACTTTCCCACAAAGAAAACCCCAGGATCAGGTGGCTTCACTATTGAAGTCTATCAAACACATAAGGAAAAAATAATACCAATCCAATACAAATTTTTTCCAAAAACAGAAGAGGAGGGAATATATCCTAAACTTATTGTTTTTAAGGACACTATTACTCTGATGCTAAAACCAGACAAAGACCTTACAAGAAATAACTATAGACTCATATTTCTCATACATAGAGACAAAAATTATATATATATGCAAATTAAATACAGCAACATAAAAGAATTATGATCCATCATGACCAAATAAAGTTTATTCCAGAAATGCAAGGTAGGTTTAACATTCAAAAATCAATTAACATAATTCACTATATTAACAAAATAAAGGAGAATAGCCATATCATTATATCAATAGATAAAGCAAAAGCATTTGAAAAAATTCAGCATCCGTTCATGATTAGTAACTCAGCACACTAGGAAAAAAAGGGAAGAAACATCTTCAACAGGTTCAAGAACATCTGTGAAAGGCCATAGGGAGCACCATACTTAATTGTAAAAGACTGAATGCTTTTCTCCTAAGATGGAGAACAACACAAAGATGCCCAGTCTCATTACTACTATTCAACATTCTTCTGGAAGCCCTAGCCAATACAATAAGACAAAAAATAAAAAGCATATAGAATGCAAAAGAAGAAGTAAAACTCTGTTTATTTGCAGACATATGATTGTGTACTAGAAAATCATAAGGAATACAGAAAAAAGCTCCTAGAACCAACAAGTAAATTTAGCAAGGCCTATGCAAAGTCAATATACAAAAATAAAGTAGTATTTCTGTATGCTAGCAATAAACAATTGGAAAATGAAATAAAAATTACAGTTACATTTCCAATAGCACCCAAAAGCATGAAATACTTACAGTTAATTTAATGAAATATGCACAATAACCATACTTTGAAAACTGTAAAACATTGCTGAGAGGAGTTAAAGACCTAAATAAATAGAGAGCTATACCATATTAATGAGATGGAAAACAATATTGCTAGAATGTCAATTTTTTCCAGAGTAATCTATGCATTCAACTTAATCTCCACAAAACTCCAACAGGTTTATTTTGTGTGTGTGCAAATTGACAGGCTAATTAAAAATTTATATTGGAATGCAAATAACCTAGCCAAAACAATTTTTAAAAAAAGACAGTCAGAGCACCTACAGCTGATATCAATCTGGATTGAATGCAAACTAATCCATAATGACAGAAAGCAGTGTAGCACTTGCCTGGGTGGAGGGAGGAAAGAATGGACCATAAAGGAGTCAAGGAAACAATTTGTGATGGTGGAAATGCTGTTTCTCTTGATTGTTGAGGTGGTTTCAACATGTCTGTCAAAATTCATAGCAGGATATATTTAAAATGATGTGGTTCATTGTTTGTATATTATACCTCAATAAATTTAATTTAAAAAAAATCTCAGAGATTAAGAGCTCCTGATCATTAAGAAATAAAGTAATGGGGCCGGTTCAGTGGCATAGTGGTTGAGTTCACGAGCTCCGCTTCAGCAGCCTAGGGTTCGCAGGTTTGGATCCTGGACGTGGACCTATACACCACTCATCAGACCTTGCTGTGGCGGCGTCCCACATATGAAATAGAGGAAGATTGGCACAGACGTTAGCTCAGGGACAATCTTCCTTAAGCGAAAAGAAGAAGATTGGCAACAGATGTTAGCTCAGGGCCCATCTTCCTTACTTTAAAAAAAACAAACAAAAAAAGAAATAAAGTGATGTCCTTGACTCATAAGAGAAAAACAAAATTAATTATTTTTAAAAAGACATGCCAAAATACATAATTGTCAAATTTCAGAACACTGGCTTGAGAGAGATTTTAAACATTCCCTAAAATGAAGAAAAAAGAAAAAAAGATGTTACTAAACAAATTTCAAGAACCAAAATGGC